GGTAAATTGGGGGGGGGGGGGGGGGGGGGGGCAGCACTGGGGAGACCCGAACGTGGAAGGAGACGGCCGCCTGGGGAGCGGACTACCTTACCTTGAACAAAAAGGATGAAGCACATGCTTTCTTGGGCTGCGCGTCATCTGTTGCACTGCATATATTTACCGTGTTCCCCTTCCCTTCCTTTTCTTTCCCCTTCGCTTGCGTTTTTGCTTTTGAAGAGAGGGGTTTTGGGAAACTTGGACCGAAGAGTTGATACCCATCTTTTAACACTCTGCATTACCTCATCCTTCCGTACTACCTTCACAACTGTCATCCCGTGACTACAATCCTTGGAGAGCATTCATCCAGCAATTGCCATTTCGGTTATCCGTATAATCTCTTGTGATAGTCTCGGTGAGAGAGGATTGTCAGCGGTAGCGATCACCTGCGGATCTGGAGCACTAGGACTAGACGTTTCGGAGACAAAGAGAAAGTGAGAGGGAGCGCATTGGATCGTGGTAGGGGTTTCGTTTCAACCGCCGACTCTGCCGACGACAACCGAAGATTGCGACAGATTATCCCGACGTCACGACTACCCCGCGAACCAGTCTACCACTCAAACCCACAACTCCAATCTCCTATTCTCCAACGAGACCGAAACACTCTGTTCAAGAGACGGATAGTATCAGCATAATGGGCGACATGATCCGGGACCTACCACCCGCCGCCGCCGCCACCGCAGCAGCAACAGAGACTCCTACTCCCACACAAGCGCAGTCGCAGCCACGCAATAAGCTCTTCCTCGGCTCTTTCATCCATTCGAAGACAAAGGAGCGGCTCGAGTACCTCCACGATGCGGCCGTCTGCGTCGATGCCGCGGGAACAATCGTTGCTGTCGAAGCGGAGTGTGATTTGAAGAGAGCCGAGGCAGAAGTTCTGCCGCGCTTGGGATGGAGCGTTGGCGATGTCGAGGTTTGTATTGGCAAAGAGGGGCAGTTTTTCTTTCCTGGGTTCATTGGTGAGCTTTTACTCCGATCCGTCCGGGGGGACCAGATCGTCTGTCTCGGGATGCTTCCTCCACCCGTAGTGAGACACGCCCGTCGTACCCAAAGCTAACGAAACCCCACCACCAGACACCCACGTCCACGCATCCCAATACCCAAACGTCGGCATCTTTGGCAAATCAACCCTCCTAGACTGGCTAAACACCTATACCTTCCCACTCGAATCCTCCCTCGCCGACCAGAAAAAGGCTAAACGCGTCTACACGGCCTGTGTCAAACGCACCCTCGCCCACGGCACCACCACATCGGCATACTACGCCACAATCGACGTCGCCGCGACGAACCTCCTCGCCGACATCTGCCTCGCCCTCGGCCAGCGCGCCTTCGTTGGAAGGGTGTGCATGGATCGTGAGGGGTTGTGCCCGGAGTACTACAAGGACGAGTCCGCGGCCGATTCGCTGTGCAGAACGAGGGAGAGCGTAGAGTACATTCGAAAGATTGATCCGGGATTCGAGCTCGTTGCGCCGGTGCTGACGCCGCGGTTTGCGCCGGCTTGTTCAGGGGAGGCAATGAGGGGACTGGCGGATATGCAGCGAGAGTTGGATGTTCTTGCGCAGACGCATATTTCGGAGAATGAGGGGGAGATTGAGCTTGTGAAGGAGTTGTTCCCCGAGGCGGAGAGTTATACGGATGTGTATGACCAACATGGTCTGTTGGGTGAGAAGATGGTGCTCGCGCATGCGATTCACTTATCGGAGGAGGAGGCGGATACGATTGCGGAACGGGGGGCCAAAGTATCACATTGTCCGTGTAGTAACAGCTCCATCACGAGCGGTGCGGCGAGGGTGAGGTGGCTGTGGGATAAGGGGATCGATGTCGGGTTGGGGACGGATATGAGTGGTGGGTATAGTCCTAGTATACTCGAGGCGGCGAGGCAGGCTGCGTTAGTGTCGAGGCATGTTGCGATGGGGTTGCAGGGGGAGGAGAAGGAGAGGGCCAAGTTGACGGTCGAGGAGGTGTTGTATTTAGGCACGAGAGGTGGTGCCAAGGTTGTTGGGTTGGGTGGGAAGATTGGTGGGTTCGATGTGGGTTTGCAGTGGGATGCGCAGCTTATTGGGTTGCCTGTTGTCGATGAGGATGGGGAACAGGAGGAGGACGGGAATGTTGATGTATTTGGGTGGGAGAGTTGGGAGAATCGGGTTGCGAAATGGGTGTTTAATGGGGATGATCGAAATACCAAGATGGTTTGGGTCAAGGGGCGGATGGTGCATTTGAGGAAGTAGATGAAGAAAGAGTCACGTCATTGGGGTAGACGGGAGGCATGGAATATCTGGCGTTTGGTGTACCTATTTGCTGGCCGGGTTGATGTCACCTGGAGTAATACTCGATTAGATGTATAATGAAGCTCAGAGCTCTTCATTGACTCGACCCCGAAGACTCCATACACAACGATTCCGACACTTCCAGTGCCCAGCCTGGCAACGTCCATGTGGCAAATTCCATGCCAGGGGAATCACATGATCTAAGAGGCCGTTCATCGAGTCCTTGTCTCACGAATCACCCAGCACAGTCGCAGAACAGCTTTCTTGAGTGGCTAAAAGATGGCACTAGTACGAGATTCTGGATCAGCGAGAAACCTGGGTCGGGCAAAAGCACACTCATGAGATCCCTAGAAACAAAAAAGAAGACCATGAAACATTGCAAATCAGCAACTCGTTGTGTATCTCACTATCTGTAGAGACCGGGTAGTTATATGCAGTATAACATCAAAGGTTTGCTCCGCTCGCTATCTCATCAAATCTTGGCTGAAGACAAGAGTAATTAATGCACGAAGAGTTTTGGAAAGAAAGCCATTTCTATCAAAAAAAAAAAAAAAAAAAGACGCAGTCACCGACTAGACCATACAAGAAGTTGCGGTAACCCTTCTGGATATGATACGAAAATCGTTTTGCACATACATGGTGCCTTTGGATGGCTTGGACGAGGTCGATGATACACCAGACGAAGGGTTTGAACGGCTTTCTCACCTTATTGACGATCTTGTAGCCACCAATTGTGTCAAAAATCTGTATTTCTAGCCGCCCAGAGCCAGCCTTGAAGCGAATCCTCGGAAAATATCCCACGTTCAAGATCCAGGATTTGACCAAGCGAGATATCCACTTGCCCACGCGAGACCGACTTCAGGCCATGGGAATGGACCTCGGCAACAGCACGACCAACAGTTTATCGAAACGGATTTGTGAAAAGACCGAAGAAGTTCTCATCTGGGTTATTCTTGTTTTGAGTAGTCTCCAGAAAGGTCTCGTCAACCACGACGATATGGACACTCTTTACCGTCGTGTGAAGTCCCTACCAAAAGACCTGACGAAGTTGTATAACGAAATGTGATCCAGGATGAAGGAATACAGCGAAATCTGTTGCAGGAGATCCGTATTTCTTCTATACATGGCAATGGAAACCACCTCATCCTTCCATGGTTCTAGTGACTGGCGTAGACCGGACAACGTTCTCGGTCTTGCCATTTCAACAGATGATGAGATCCTAGAATCCTTCACGGCCCTTCACGTCATCGGGTCAGCTACATCTTACTGTCGGCTGGGGCTTCTCTTTGAGCTTGATGACGCTGCCGTTCTAGCATTGATTATTGAGGCTGCTGAAAAGGTTCTAGGCTCAGCTTCCCTGTCGAAACTATTGGCTAAGCCAACTTATAATCTGGCAGTTGCGCCGAGGCTTGTCCACAAGGAGGACATAACCCCCGGTTCAGAATGAATAGACATTCTAGGGTATTCTGAATGTTATGAAATCTTGCCAGAGGGGAGCATGGATGGTCAGCGACTACTCACGTTGATGATGAAAGGAAAGATAGAGAACTTGAATGACTTGATGCGGATGTGGGGCCTCCATTTTACAGGTACGGATAATGGGTCATCACCGCGACCGTGTTTCGGCGCTTGAGGCCATTGGCTATGAAGTTGACACCATGAATGGGGAGTTCATGACCATTCACATTGGAATTGATGGGTTGTGACATGGAGTTCCGGTGAAAATAAATCTCCTCTGAGGATTGATCACCTACCGCCCTTTGCGCTTTTCCGTCTTTGAAACCCCAGAGAATTGAAATTTGAATCACCTTGTTAATCATGGTCGCTAGGGTTACAAACGAGACTAGGCTCGGAAACCCTAAATTATATACATTAGTAGTCAATTGTCGCTGAATTCCAGCTCACAAGCTGAATGATTGCTATCTCATAATTTCCTGCAATATGACACGGACGTGCTACAAACTCTGTAGCAGCAACTTCTCACCTGCAAAGCTACTTGAATCCTCTTTCTTAAGACACCGGCTAAGTTCTATCATTCCTGAAGTTCACAACCACCAGAATGTTGACCCCGATCTCACGTGAGTGGAAAACAGGTTCGAAATGGGGTTTGCAGTGAACATCTCCTTCATATTGACCGCGGACCACATCGGTCATTAGTGTCACCAGCGATAACCTGACCTGATAAAAGCTGTCATTTTAGGGATACATGGTGACGCTATATGACTTCAAGACGAAGAAGGCCTGCATCATACTCATTGAAAGAATTCAGGTGAAGTCAGAGGCTGGGTTCACGAAAGAGCTCAATGATAGGACGTAGCGAAGCGATCATCTCTTCTTCTCAGAACGCGGAAATCTCTCTGCGAACTCAGAAGACTTGGTAAAACCCAATATGATGGTGGTATTGGATGTCTTCTCAAGTCCCTACGAGTACAATTTGAGAGAATAATTGCAGTCTAGAATCGTATCAGAGTGATCCATCGAGCGGGTTGTTCTCATCCTGCGCAATGCATCACGGCATAGGTCTCTAAGTACCACTGTTGGCTAATAATGCCTTCGCAACGATCTAACAAAGGCTACATTAGATCCATCTAAGCTCGGATACGCAGTCAATTCGCGTTGCACACCCAACTTACATCGCACCAAGAAAGTTCTAGGGTTGCTGAATTGGCCCTCAGGGAGCGCGTTACATTCAGCTTCATGCCTACTCATACAGTAAGCTGACAGGAGGAAAGAGAGTAAAACAGAGTTCTCAGCCTTCGTACCATATGTTGTGGTGTCTTCGGACAATGACCCACGTGAATCTTGTGATCTTGCTCACTTGATCAGGCATCTTTGGAGTTTCGGGTGTATCATGATCCATTTGGCCACATCATAGACGCGGGATTCTCGCACTTTGTATCCACGTGCAGCTTTCGCATGTTCGAGAGCTTTGAGGCGTGTCTTGGCGATAAGGTGGACGAACTGCTGAATGCGACAGGGATTGGGGTCACTGTGAAGCAGTTGATAGTCAACATCAAAAGGCCCGTATCTTATCCAGACTCGGTTAGTCCCGTGCCTCGATTCAAGCCTTTCAGTCTGCTATCCCATGGCACAGCAACGTTCTTCATGTCGTGTTAACCCGTCTAACAAGCGTTGTCTTAGATTATCTGTGCCATTCGTCTAGGCGAGTTCAAACCCGATCGCTACTTCATCACTGTCACCATGTGGTCGCTTCAGCAACAGGCACTCGCGGCCAAGTCTTCGGGATGGATGGTCTTCTTCGACTACCGCAAAGGGAAGATTGCAAATTTGATGGATATCGGCGGTGTTTACAGAGACCTGCATGAAGCGCTTGCAGTCAAGTGTCAGAAGATGAAGTAGACGGCTGCGGCTTGGAAGATAAATCCTCTAAAAAAGCAGTCGTTTAAATACGTTGTAAGCCAGGCTTGCGACATTCAAAGACTGGGTTTTTGACAGTCTTCGAGTGAGGCAGCCTGTTTGAAAGTATTTCATCTGTTTTATGTCGCCATCCAGCACTGACTGGGGTATCGCATGTGAATCCTCTTAGGAACAATGAGATACTTAAACTTAGCTGACTAGTCACCACTAATATTATATACTATTAATATTATATAATATAACCCTATAACCCTATAACGTAAATTTAACTTACCTTTTCCTTAAGTTAATAGTTTTTATTTTAATTAGAGTCTAGAAGTAGTAGTAATATATCGAAAATATATGTCGTTCTGCTTAGATATCGTCGTATTACTGCTTGTAGTATGAAGTGGCCTCCAATTATCTGGGAAACTTATACAGAGCATAATGGCTTGACCTCAGTCATTGCGTCTAGTAGGCAAGTACTTTAGCTGGCAGCAGGCCGATTATGAAGGCAAAAGTTGGATGCCAGGATGGAGGCAACCTCTACAGCCCGGAGAGCATAGTCTTAGACAAGTAGCACCCATTATCCATGTGCTGCACAATGTCGGGTGATGTATGGGGGATCAATCGATAGATTGAGAAATTCGGGTTGCTGTTGCACAAGCCACACGGTATTAGTGTGCGATACGGCAACTGGATCAGCTGTGCGGAACGGTCAGCAATGATCGGCGTAAGATGGCGTTGCAACGTACAATGGAAACTGAATATGGCCCTTTTGGAATTTCTTTTTCGTGCGAAGACTGGCTCAAGATGGATGACTTAGTGTTGTATAATTACCTATTGGAAGCTGGCTAGGCTTGAGGACTGAAAAGAGTTTAATTGCCTTCACCTTCAGCAACAGCATTGCAACCCATGACTTCAGCTATTACTGTGGCACCCAAATATCAAGAGCCTTTCCATGTTAGTCGTAGATATGGCCCGTCTTTTCACTTTCAGCACGTTGATGACAATCGCTAGTGCCAACGCACTAAGCAGCCATTTGCCTTCCGCCACGACTGTTTTCAGTTCGGCGCCTGTGTCAACACAGACGCCAGTTCCGACTCAATACACTCTACCCAACGAGGACAGCGATTTCTCGTCAAGGGTAGATGAGATCAAACTCAAACAACAGGGTATCATCTACGGAGAACCAGTGATAGGATATAAGTCCTTTTTCCCCAATGGGTCGTTAGGAACCCAGATCTCATTGCGCGATCAGAGCTTGTGGTTGAAGGATTCGGAACCTGTCGCTCAATATGCGACCAGTGAAAGCGCTGCGGCGCTTGAGAACATCATCAAGGTAGCTCAATTTCGATTCCTCAATGTAAATCGTTGTCTGACTAGTATCTGTGCTTCAAGCATGGTGGCCTCAAGGGCCTTGAGGACTACAAGATCCTTTACGATGGTCACTGGTCTAGGTCGGTTCCTGGCGGCATCGCCAAAGGCCAGTCCAGCAACTTTACCTCAGACCTTCTGTTCGCTATGGAGCGCCTATCAACCAATCTTTACGTCATTCGCCGTTTTAACTACAAAAAGGACAAAATGCCGTTCCCTCTTGACATCAAGATAGTTAGGAAGATCACTGGAACTACTCTCGAATCACTTCATAAAGACGGTCGTCTATTCTTGGCCGACCACAGTTATCAGACAAAATACATCGCCCAGCAGGGCCGATACTCGGTCGCGTGCCAGGCGCTCTTCTACCTTGACAAGCGCTCCGATTACTTCCTTCCTCTGGCCATCAAGACCAATGTTGGCGCTGATCTGACATACACCCCCTTGGACACAGCCAATGAGTGACTGCTGGCCAAAGTCATGTTCAACGTCAACGACTTTTTCCACGGCCAGGTGTATCATCTCCTTAACTCCCATGACGTTGCTGAGATTGTCTATCTAGCCGCCCTTCGCACGCTCAGCAGCCGTCATCCTGTTCTCAACCTCCGGGAAAGGCTCATGTACCAGGCTTATGCCATACGCCCCATAGGAGACAGAGTACTCTTCAACCCGGGCGGTTTGTTTGATCAGAATTTTGCTTTCTCAAATGAAGCCGTACGCTGATTCGGTGCAGAGTTCTATCCGACTGTCGCCGGCCCGTTCCAGGGGAGTTACTTCGAGGATAACCTCCGATCACGCGGTCTACTAAAGCCGTCTTTCGGCCTGAAACTTCCTCATTTCCCCTTTTACGAAGATCAGAAAGATATTATTGGAGTCATTCGGAAATTCATTGAAAGTTTCGTTTAGGCAACGTACGCGTCTGATCGAGTGCTAGCTAAGGATTGGGAATTGCAAGCCTGGATTGACGAATCCAACGGTCCTGCAAAGGTCATCGACTTTCCTTCAGCGCCCCTGAGAAGCAGGAAGCAGCTCATTGACATTTTGACCCACATGGCATGGCTGACGGGTGTGTCGCACCACGTCCTGAATCAAGGTGAGCCTGTGACGGCGTCTGGCGTGCTACCACTTCACCCCGTTTCTCTGTACGCACCTGTTCCTACCAAGAAGGGACGTATCGGAAACCTTCTTCCTTGGCTCCCCAACGAGCAAAAGTCAGTTGAACAGATCACTCTCCTTGCACGATCCAACAGGCCACAGGTTGTGGAAAAGAATCAGGCTCTACGGTACATGTTCAACGCCGATAGTTTTCTCGCCGGGACCAAGAAAGCTGTTTCGTTGGCAAACGACCGGTGCATGAAAGACACGGGTAGTATCAGTAATGAGATCAGCGGGCGGCGGTTTGATGGCGAGGGCTTAAGTCAGGGTATGCCATTCATCTGGACTGGCATGGAACCTGGAGTTATTCCATTTTACTTGAGTGTTTAGAAATTGTTCACACACAATTGGCCATCTGTTATGGTGTCTTTGGACATGGGTCAAGTGGATGGCTATTCAGGGACAATGCCCGGCTCGGATCCCTGTGAGAGGGATGTGGGCAAACGTCGAGAATCAGCAATAGGCAAGAACGATCCAGTCAAAAGGAGAAGCCGATAGGTTGAACAATACAACTCTAATTCATGGCACTATCTCCCTGACATCTGAAGAAAAGTGGGATTGACATACGTTAGGGGCCCAAAGCTAGCGTCGCATGTGAGGTAACGGATATCTTCCCTAAGCAAAACCTTGAAGATGTTTTGAACTTGCAAAAAGTTCGATGATTTTTGTCGAACTCTCGGCAAGTCGAAACTCTAGGACAGCGATTTCAAGTGTCTTTTTCGACATTGTTAGCCATTCAGAGGTGGAATCGCCGATCTCCATGCTATAGCAGTGCTAAGCCTCCACGGAAATAGACAGCTAGCGATGGCTTGGAAACCTTCGGAATATCACAGTACCTACCGCCCCATCGCGGACTCTGGGACGGAAAAGATGTGACTTTCCTAACTTAGGTGGCAGGAGATTCCGGGTCCCGAGTCAAGCCTCTTGGCAGATACTGACGTAACTACGAAGAGAAATGCACGCGAGTGGATGCTGTGCTTGATTCTACGGCCTCTATATGAGTCGTGTTGCCCTGAATTCGCCTCTTGGCTCTGCTGGGCTCTCCTTTGGAATCCCTACCCCATAGAAGTGCTTTAGTGGGCTGGCGAGAGTTGAGGTAAAGTGAGCAGTCTGGTCTGAAGTTGTTAAAAAGTAAGAATCATACGTCGTACCATTGTTCTTGCGTACTTCAATTTTTCTGCTTGCAACCACGATGCACGAGAAGTCATCATAGGTGAGGTAGGTAGGCTTTTGGGGGGCACGCCCCTTGGAACATTGTTTGCCAAGAGTTCAGAAGCTAGAAAGGGCTCTTAAGGCTGTTGATATCACACCGCGTCGGCTCAAATCCGACGCGCCGCTCGGTAATGCTGCATAATACACTGCCGCATCTCCAGGGGTCATTCATCGAAAGTAGTCTGGATTCTGGAAAATTCGCAACCACTTCGTCAGCAATTTTCAACAAGCGAAGGCTCTAGTTGATGCACCTTCTAGATTGAAGAACTTCTGGTAACTGTCGAATGGGACAGCTTCCGATTTTTTTTGACGCCCGCATTCCGGCCTTGGGTTGTAGTAGATGCGGATCTGGCAATGGCATTTCGCCAAGACGAAAATCTCCTATCCACACCCATGACAACATCGGCGAGACCACATCAGTGATCTTTCGGCTCGGGTCAACCGCGGCTCTCATCGCTCCCTCAAGCCCTCTGCTGATTATGCTTGGTCGTCGGGTCAAGGTTGATTCAAGGTGCAGTGACCAGGCGGACCGCCCCTGAACTTACGCGGCCAGGACTCTTGGCGGCCCGCCGGGGATGGCGTCCGGGTGCGGCTTGGGGGCTTCGGACCCCGGAAGTCAACCGTAATATCTGGGCCATGATTGGCGGGGTGCCTTTTACTATGCGACGAACTGCCGAATGGGGAATTGATCAGAACGTGGTTCTTCGGGATGTGGGAGAGACCTGTGTCGCGAACCCGACGTCAGTGGAGAACTGGAGATCGTGAAAGGTGGACTGCAGCTCGGTTTGGCAGTTTCGCGGATCTGAGCGTGATGAGAGGGGGGCAATGGCTGACAAAAGAAACGTCCTGATGAGATGAACTTGTTTTCTGGATCCTCGTCAGGGGTCAAACGGGACGAAGCAGGGAAGATGATATTTTCATCTATTCGTGGAAGGTGAAGAACAATCGAAAGAAGAGATGAACGTATAAATGCAGGATCGTCTCCCGTGTTGTTGATCAGTTTTGGCTTGATCAGCAGCTTAGATTTCGGTAGCTTGACTTTGACAACAGGTCCTAGACATCCTCTCGTTGAACAGTCTTTACAACACTCTTTCTTGAATTACACTCTCTTTCAACCTCCACAATGCAGTTCCAACTCCTTGCTCTCGCTTCTGCGCTCCTCACGGGAGCGGCCGTTGCCCACCCAGGTCATGACCACACTCTGAGCCACTCAGAGATTGCCCGCCGCTCCAACCTCGCCAAGCGTTGCTCGGTGCAGTCCGGTCAGTTCCAGGAGGTTCGCAGGAAGCGTCAGGCTGAGAAGCGCTCGCTCGTCAGCCGTTCTCTAGTTCAGCGCGACAGCAACGTCACTATCCACACGGAGGGTCCTCACTACAACACTTTGCAGAACGACACTTGCGTCCTGACCCCTGAAGTCACCAAGGGACCCTATGTTTGGCCCCAGTCTCAAACCCTGCGCCAGGACATGAGCGAAGGCCAAGCCGGTGTTCCTCTCTACTTGGACATTGGTGTCCTCAACGTCAACGATTGCACTGTAATGAGCGATGTGTTGGTAGATTTGTGGCATTGCAACGCTGTAAGTGAACCTCGTCATCCAAATCTCGACACTGTTGGTGGTGCCGACTAACGCGATGGCTCGCAGACCGGATCTTACAGCTCCTTCACGGGCCACAGCCCCAACGCTCCTTTCGAAGAGCTCCTCGACCAGCTCAACGTCACCATCGGTCCCGATCTGGACCTGCATACCGACGCCACCACCTGGCTCCGCGGCATCTGGCCCACCGACTCTAACGGAATCATGGAGATGAAGACCGTCTTCCCCGGCTTCTACGTCGAGCGCACCATCCACATTCACGCCCAGGTTCACACCGACTGGTCCGTCCGCAGCAACGGCACCGTCGTCGCTTCTAATATTGTCAGCACCGGCCAACTCTTCTTCGACGAGCCCCTTAGCCAGCAGATCATGGCCCTCGAGCCCTACGTCAGCCACACCGAGATCAACCGCACCACCAACGACATTGACAGCATCTTTGCTGATGAGAGCAAGGGCAACTGGAACCCCAACATGGTTGTTGAGCCTCTCGATGGCGAGGACGTCACCAAGGGCATGCTCGCCTACATCACCATTGGTGTTGAGGCATAGATGACACGGGATAAACTGTAACTTTTGAATCGGATGTTCTATAGAGGCCGGCGTCTGGGTTATGTAATACAGTTGATGCTTAGAAGATGGCAATAAAATCACCACATGATTGAGGCCTTTCAGCTTGGCCAACGAGCATTACAATTCAGAATATTGTAAATTAGTATGTTTCATATCATTACTTGTATGGAGGTACCCGTCATTGGCGACCTGCCTAGTATGTAATTCGTGCTCATAGAAATCTACTTCCCATGCTTCCCTTAGTAATATTCAATTGTGAACCCTCAAACCGACACTACATGTCTTACTAGCCCTTTTAAAGGTTCTTGGGCTCCAATTGCTCCTCGGGAGCTTCAACGACGCGGCGTCCACCCTTGGAACGTCGATCAGCATCTAGAGACTGAGCGAACTTGGATCTTTCTCGGATGACGGGACCCTTCCAGTAAATAAGGTACACTGGGATAGTGACCATGAAAGCAAGACACGCAAGCACAGTGCTTGCGTACTCCGTGTGGCGTGCACTTCCAATGTTCTCATACAACGGAGTTGAGTACATCGCTGCGATTCCCGCAAGGAAATCCCGTGCAAAACCGTTACCACCAGTAGCAGACGCAGAGTAAGGGCCGTATGCAGCGATCATGTAATCAACCGTGCTCATGTAGATGGCAAAATTGGCAATGGCGATCAGGCATGAGAAGATCATGGGCGCGATCCAATGAGATTCGGGAGGGCCCATAGATGTCCAAGCGAAGCCAAAGAGACCGATAGTCTCGAGAGGAGCAAGGTACAACAACCACTTCAAGCGGCGCTCAGGAGCGAGTGCGTCAGGACCCTTCATCTTGATAACACGGTGGTCTCTGATGATCCATGGCACATAGGAGATATATGCGAGGATGTAGCCGATGTTGATGGGGATGAATGCCCAAGCCTTTTGCAAAGTTCCGAAACCCCACTTGTTGAAGACTGGCGTGAAGCCCTCTTGGAAGGTAAAGATGAGGGCATCAGAGAACCCCGAAAGAAGAGAGCAGGAGAGAACAATTGGCTCTCTAAGAAACATCTCAAAGGGGCGCATCCATGTGATGGCAAACTCGTGCATCGAAAGACGAGGTTTCTTGATCTCATTTGGTCCATAGATGTTGATGTCTTCTTTGGACTTGCGTCGCCGCTTTGCTTCTTTGTCCATAATGATAGTGGAGCGGCTCTCGGGCATGAAGAAGTGAACGGCTTGGACGACAACACCAAAGATCATCTGAATCCACAGGTTCCAGTACCATGGGAGGAACTTTTGAATGGGCCCTCCAGCAACGGGCCCGACTGACGTCCCGAGAACGGACGACAGGACGACAAACAGGACGGCCCATTGCTGTTCCTCGGGCTGATAAAGATCGGCAACCATGCCGAGTGTCACACTACCTCCGGCTGAGCTGAGACCTCCCTGGTCAAACTATCAGTCATTGATTCGATGGGACTTGTAGAATCCTCAGACACTTACCAGGGCTCGAGCGATGACTATGCTGCCGAAGTTGGGGGCTAGTGCGGCAAGAATCTGCCACATATTGACAAGAAACAAGGAGCATCTAGACTTGACCTTAGTCGTGTCACATAAGGATAGCCTCGAGGTACTCACTGCAGAATTTTCCATCGTCCGAACTCTTCACTCCAGGGAGCCCACAGCTCACATCCAAAAGCGTAGAGAACCAGGAACGCACACTGCGCTGAACGCGCAGCTTGCTCACTGACGTGGAACTCCTCGCTGATGGGAGTAACAGCGCTAGGAAAGACACTCGTGTTGAAGTTCATCGACACTTGTACGGCAAAGATGGAGGAGAGAAGCATCCACTTTTTCCACGCCGGCCACGAGTATCCCAGTAGATGATAGCACTCATCCTCGGTGATGATACGCTTTCCATCGGGGGTGTACTCAGGCTGCTTGCTACTCTCTACCCTAGCTAGGTCGTCGCGGTTGCTAGTGCCC